GGTAGTGGGGGAGAATTCGCCGGGCCGCCTCCCGCCGGTGATGAAGCTGGAGAAGAAGGAATAACCCGATTTTCACAATTAGCGAAAATCCCAGTTGGTGCCAGGCCAGGGCTGTCGGAGTGCCCGGGCGTGGAGGTCCGGCTCACGGTGGAAGCGGCACCGATGGAAATGTGAAGTACGCGGTAGGGGGGGAAAACAGTACAGCGCTTTCTTCGTACCTCCAGTCAAAGGTAACTTCACTCCAGCAGGTAGCAAAAAAAAAAAAAAAAGATATTCCCATTTATAGATGCATCACCTAAGTTCTGGAGTCTTGTTTTTCATCATTAAAACTGGTACAGTTAAAAATTCATGACATTTTTTACCTTCATCAGGTTCCCTCCCCCTTACTTTTTAAAGCATCTGATCTTACCAACATTTTACGACCGTTACATGCAAAAGTATTCAATCTCCATAAATACTCCAGTAGTACTACTTACTTTTTTTTTTTTTTAATTATTTCATAATTGTCAGGTAATCAATCCGTGCCTTTGCATGCAGTCAACAGTAAGAGGTGCTGCAGCCACATGTATCTCACCCGACAGTCAAAGCGCCATCAGCTGCAGTGCTTTTAAACTAAAGACATCAGCCTTTAGTTTGCCATATTCAACATCTATTGCCTACTAACAACGTCTCCAGAACAATAATGATAATACCTGAGGTATATCTGTAGTGCTCTTCTCGCACTAGCTTGCTGCATTGTCCTTTTCCTGCATACCAAGATGTCAAATACTATGAAAATAAGTGATTTTCAATCTTAGACCCGTGGTAAGATTATTGCTGCCAAACCATTTCAGCCCCCAAGGGTAGCAAATAAAAAGGCCGACCGCAGAAAAGGAAAAACATTCCTCCTTGGAAAATAATCCGCCTCGGATTTTGCACTTCTATTTTATTTCAAAGATCTTTTAGAACGACAGCTGAAAGGATGAACTGGAAACAAAAGGGGGACTTTATGAACTGAAAAATTAATTTGTCCTAAACTCTATATGCCTTTTTTCAACTGACCCCTCTAAACCATCCCAGAGCCAGCAGCCTGGCCAGTCACGCGCAACAAAACCCATCAGACTGTTTCCCTAGCAGTGTTACAAAACAATCTGTTTTAGACAAAGAATCATCTCAATTCTTAACTTTAATATTTTAAAGTAAGCAAAATCATGAACAAAAATAATCAGAAATGTCATTGCAGGAACAAATATTAAAACCAAACAATAAACCAGGCTATTAGCTTAGACGCTTTTGATTGGGATTACATATGGCTTTTGTAACCAAAATGGAAGAAGGAATAGATTTATCCCACTTGGGAGTATGTGACCTATCTAAAATTTGCAAGATACAAAATCTGCAAATTTGCAGAAAGCACTCTTAGATTAAGTTTCAAGTACTGGTAAAGGCTTTTTCTGTGACTTTAATCAGGCACCTCTGAGACACCAAGCAGTGAGTTTTACTGAATGTCTTTGCAGTCTGTGCTGTTACACAAATCAGAAGACAGGTGGTTCCTCTTTTTCAAGTATAAATTTCAGAACATTAAAATACAATGTACATAACTGTCCATGCCTTCGATGAAGCAAAAACTTGGAACTTGATGAGTTCAACCTACAATTTCCTCTCTGGCATCCTAAGTATCCTCCTCAAAACAAACCCATGTTACTCCTTTTGATACATATTTGATAGTCTCTATTTCCCCACCACTATTACTAGGCTTTTGAAAATGAATCTCAATCATATCCTGTACGCTTTCCTCATCGTCTTCCGTCTCTTGAATTCCTTTCAACAGAATGGTCTTCTTAGAAATCCCGCAATAGAGCTGTGGAGGAGAGACAAACAAAGTTGCATTACGCATCAGCTGTTGCCTGTACATCTAAAGGAACTGACAGATACTGGAAATAAACATACCCTTGATCAGATATGGCTAGGATCTTTGATTACATTTTAAGACTTTGGACAGGGTGGTATATTTCTGTCACTGACAACAGCAGGAGTTCCCAACTCTATCATACACTACTGAGTTCAACAGGCAAAGCACCGAGCCTCCTCAGCTGCTGTGTCCTACGCTCCTGAATGCACACACGCACTGGATTTGGAGATCTCTGATGACTCTAGACAGCATCACTTCATAAAAATCCACGCCAATACATGATACACACCTGCAAAGAATGCTGTTGTGTCTCATAAATGCACACACTCGAGTCAATGCTTTAATTATATAGGCCTGATTATATACACAATGCTGACTTGATTACAATCTATTCATACAAAATAAACGACAATTTCAGTGAGAATGTGATGAGCAAGCAGATTAGTGTTACGGGAAAAGAAATCATTATTTGGGTTGAATGAATGAATAAAAAAATGAATGAGCAAATGTTTCATAGAACAACAAGGGTCTCTGCTGAGACCATCAACAAGGCCTCTCATTAGGGATGAATATGACAATGCTTTTTAACTCAGAAAAACGCTGTTGTGTCTACTATAAACCTACTTCACAAACAATTCAGTAGCTGCCTCCTGTCTAGCACAGACATTATGGTACATACTGATAAAATTTGATCAAGGAAAGACATGCGCACCCTTTTACAATAAATTATAGCTTTCACACTGCAAAACATAAGATTATCATCAGAGCAGCATATTACAGGCTCACGCTTGCTATTAAATTTCACAAAGTGCATAACACAAAAGCTTCTGCAGTCCTCAGAACTGAAAATTCTGCCCGTATATCCTATTTCCCACATATCTGTTCTATTTAGGAGTTAGCCTGGACTAGATTCTTTTACCTGAAACTTTTCCAAGTGTACATCGGTGTTTGGGGACACAGAAAGCCTATAGCACCTTCCATTTACATAGAAAGGATATTTAGTGCATCTCACAAAGCTGTTAGCTGCTGTAATAGAGAATGGGAAAAAGAGAAGTAAGAGTAATATAATGTAAAATGCATTTTGCAAGCATATCAAAGAACAGACTAATCTTTCTTATATGGATTTAGAAACTAATATATGATAGCACACTTGTAGATTCTTCATATGCATATTGAAAAAAGTTTATCTGGCGTTTCCAAAACAGCAAAATCATTAAATACCCACAAAAGCTTCTGAAATAAATCTAAAGCAGCTGCTCTAAATGGATGTGGCTCCACTGATCTTCATAGAATTTCATACAGTTGGGCAATCTGAATGCCTGTCTAACTTCATTGTCATGAAACAAGGGCTAAAATCAAACACATTTTCCTAATTTTCTTTTTGCAATATAAGTGTCTAGCAATGCAAAGGAAAAATATTTTTTTGACAAAGTTAAGAAAGGAAGAAAGCTCACAAGCTGTGTACCAGGTCATGTTTGATCAAAAAAAGAGTATGATGAAATACTGCTTTATTTACAGATGTGTGGGTGAACCCACATCTTTTCCTGATCTGCTTAACTCTCCGTGGGAAGAATTTGCTACGTTCAGTGGTTAAGCTAACACAGAATGGACAATATGGCCTGTACATCTAGCTAACAAAATATTATATAGTATACCTCCAGGTCTCAGGAACGTAATAACAGCTGTTCTGGACTGCTTGTCATACTTCACATTTTCTACTTCTCCTCCTCCACCCCGTTCAGATTTGTAGAAATTCAGCTCTAATTTGTCTCTCATCCAGTCTTCAGGAATGCATAGCTCAGGTACTTCTGAAACACTGATCTTCCTTCCAGAAATAGTGACATGGAGCTAAAAAAATAATTTTGTGCACTTTGTGACTGAAAACACCCAAAAACCTGAACCTAAAGCTTTTAAGTACTGCAAGTTCTCATCTTTATAGTTTCATATTTCAGTTGATTACCTCAAATTTGATTCCCATTTCAAGTGTAAAAGGCTTCACGCTCACATGTGCTATTTTGTTGTCCAGGTTCACAGCGTGCTTTCCCATTTTTGTCAGTCTCTGGGCAACTAAGGAAAATCACAAGTTTTCAGACATGAAAAGCTTTGTTTAATCATTATAAACCCAAAACTATTCCCCATAGCATAAGCAAAATCTCCTTTTGCATCAATAAAGGAGAAATAAATAACAGCTAGGCAACCAGATCCCACTATCCACGTTTTCAGGCCTATTTCCATAAAGTCTCACTGGTTATAGGCAACAGGTAAAATATTATACTATCTTTAGAGCAGTATAGAATAGTAGAATCTTTATGCTGTCAGAAGATGCTCTCACTGCATCAAATATTAACACTAAACTTCTCATATTCCATTTAAAATATCCTTGTATGAAACCCACATCACTACCAGGTGCAGAGAACGGCTATTAGCAATGTTAGATTTTAGCTGAAAGAAATTAATCGGACACTAGCTTTGTACCTGGGATATACTCACATAACTAAGTTATCCACCAAGCAGGCCCAGCCAGAATGCCTGCAGGCTCCTTGTAGGCAGGCACCAGGCTGGCCAAACGGCAAGTATCCCAGTGGGAAGCAGGCAGGTTAAAGACTACGCCATCCCTCTGTCTCAGATCTACCCATCATCTGATGTGTACACTTAACCAACATAACTGCTGTCACAATAAGGTACTGCCCAGAGTAAAGAAAATAATCAAATTCTGCTGTCAAAACATTTTGAATCAGTCTTGACAATACTCTGTGAGGTAGAAATTCCCAATTTCAAACACCAAGTATTGTTTCTATTAGCCGAGAGCAGAAATCTGGTAATCCAAGACAGACATGCAGAGTGGTTGCAAGGATTTTCTTCTACTGATTGGTATCATAATAGTGAAAGGGTCTCTGTGTATTCTTTCTTTGGCTGTTGTTGATCTTTTTTTTCCAAAATGTTTATGTAAATATTTTCCCTTTGGCAACAAAATACATCAGAGACATTAATTTTATACTTAAAATATGCATCATACCTTCTTCATCTTCAAAAGTAAGCAGTGCCTGGTTTTGATTCAGTCTAAATGGGATTCTTGTAGTTGCACCAAAAACACAGTGAGTATTCATATCTGAATAATCATCCTTCATGTCTTCCATGTGAGAGAACTTCATTTCCACTTCTGCTACCTTTTTTTTAATCTGATATTTTAGAATCAAGATAGGAAAAAAAAGCATTTCTGTAATTTATTGCAGAACAGAAAAATGAACAGTAGTCTTTCCTTGAAGTGCTACATATATTTTGGGGTTTTTTTTAAGTTTAACAGTCAAACAGATTGAAGTCATGGCTGGAAAAAACAGGTATAACTCTTCTAACTAAACTGATTAGTTGTACTTGTCTATTCCTGGGATTTTTGTCAGTGAGGACTTTTTTTTCCCCTTTGATTAACTTCAAACTCAAACTTGACCTTATACAGTAAAAATTCAATTGAAGTCCACAGGGATCTCCACTTGCAGAAGCAGAATACTTTTGGCATCTAGCATTTGCAAAATGCAAGTATCAGAGTCATTTGTGTTGCCATTTATTTTTGCATAATTGCATCACTGCTCTACAGCAATGGGCAGCCTGCGAATCAACAGCCTTATATGTTGCCATCTTAGTAAAACAGGTAAGAATACCCAAGTATTTTATAACTAGGATAGATTAAAACTGTTCATTAAAATGTTGGTTAGGAAAGGCTGCTTTGATAGACTTGAGGGAGTTTCAGATAACTTGTTTTTCCCCTTTACGTAACTATTTCAAAATAAAACCTTTTGTAGAAGAAAAATACTGTTTGTGTCAAGATAAAATAACCAAAATAATGAAAGCATT